AGGGCCTTATGGGACCATGTGGCCAGCATATTTGGGTATCAGTGGTCCCATTGCTTTCATCTTTCTAGTTTATCATGTTTCTTAGCCTTGATTTTCATGACCAGATATATTTTATCAGAGTATATTTTTGTCATGCATCTCAAAATCTTTGCAGACTAAGTTGGTGTCTGGATGTGTGTACACAGTTCTAGGAAGAGAGAAGCTGGCATATCACATCCATGATAAATAAGACATTCATAGGGTCTGGTTTCACTTGCTATACAACTCACTATTCTGAAAGGGGCTAACTACTTTTTAATTTTATTTATTTGAGAGAGAGAAAGAGCGAGAGAGCATGAGCAGGGGGAACAGCAGAAGGCAAGGAGAAAGCAGGCTTTCCACTGAGCAGCGAGGCCAATGCAGGACTGGATGCCAGGACCCCAAGATCATGACCTGAGCAGAAGGTGGACACTTAACCACCTGAGCCCCCCAGTGGCCCAGGTACTATGATATTTTACTATGCTTTATGCTGGCTTAAAGCAAACCGAATGAAAACAAAATACACTCTAAAATGAACTCAGGATTCTTTAGTGCCTCAAAAATAGAGCTTTACACTATTAAGACCACACTTACCCCTGAACAATGAAAGGTATTTTTAAAACCACTTATAGTAAGATGTTAAACACAGATGGTCTAATTAGTCCTTTTACTTTGGCTGTATATTTATTAGGAAGAGGGGCAATAATAAGAAATACTTTGCTAAGTGAGATTTCTGTGGACTTTTAAATTATAAAAGCAGACTTAGAAAAATACTGCTTTCTGTAAATTTGGCTGAGGGCTATTAATTTCTGAAATTATCTACAGAAAAGCATAACATATACTTAAGTGTCCATCGATTTGAAAGACTCGAGAAAAAAATGTGAAATCCAAACAACTGCAGTATGTAATTTTTTCTGATTTTTAAAGGAATATTTATAGCTTGAAAGGCAAAAGCTGGCGAAATATATAAAAATCAGACAAGCAATTCTTTTCCTATTTCAGGAAAATTACATACAGTTCTTAAAGAAGACATTGACAATTAGCTCTCAGTTGACACATACTCATTATGCTAGAATTTCTAAAAACTCCTCCCCTTTTAATTTCTGAGAAGGGAAACACATTTCTTTCAGAATTGGAAGAATGGCTTTAATGACCTCTATAATCTATAGCTCAGAAGTCAGATCCATCAGACAGCCTGTTTTCCTCTGGTCAAAGCTAAGAATAACTTCCACATTCTTAAAACGGTTGGAAAAAAGGTCAAAAGAATAACAACATTTTTTGACAGCTCAAAATGACATGAAATTCACATTTCAGTGTCCATAAAGGTTTCTGGAATGCAGTCATGCCCATTCATTTGTACTTGGTCTGTGGTTGCCTTCCTACTACCACGACAGAGTTGAATAGTTACAACTGAGACTGAATGGCCCCCATGCCTGAAATATTCCTACAATCTGGCCTTGCCCAGAAAAATTTGCCCACCCCTGACCTAAGAGATGGAGTCCACTGGAGGGCCCCTCTGTGTATCCTCGGGGCATGCGGCAGAAGACGTACCTGGTTGAACTGGTGCAGGCATTTGTCCAGACACCAGGAACAGCAGAAGCAGTGTCTGCACACACATCTGGACCATGGACCACGCTGCTGGAGTTGGGATCAGAACCAAACAAACAGAGTCAGAAATACAGAAAGAAAGAAGCAGGCAGTTTCTACAGACACATAGTCCAAGTTTCTAACTTGGAGATTTATGTACCTGGGGAGGTACGTGGTGTGGGAAACGTCCTTCCATTCTGCACATGCTACTACTACTACTGATTATTACCATGATTATCGCTGAGGGTGAAGCTTCTCTTCTGTGGGCTTACCTTCTGATGACTGCTGGTGACCTCAGCAAAACCAGAAATGGGTTAGTCCATATTTACTAGCAAAGGTAAACTAGGCTTTCCGGTTCTAGTTCAAAAAAACCAAACAAACAACTCTTTCCATCTTCCCCTAAGTGTTGTCAGTGATAAAATTTGCTTTTTCAAACCAGTTTGTGTTCTTAAAAAATCTACTACCTAAAGACCGTGAAACAAATAATACATTGTAGATACTAATTATGTGCCCATATAAAAAAAGGAATCAAGTTTAACTTTCTTTGCAGAAAAAAAATAATTCCATACAGAGATTTTTTAGGGCTAAATTTCAAGGGACAAATTAGCCCTTTGACATGTAATTTGGACATATGCATAGCTCAAGAGTGAATAAAACTCTTGGAGGAGGGGCGATTGAATGTGACCCACTGACTGCCCAGAGTTAAAAAAACAAACAACAAAAAAATCCCTTTAAACAATCCTGAAAATAGTCCTCTCTTGAAGACCCCAGAAGTAACTCAGCCTTATATGGACATTTTCTTGTCCCAGTGTTAACTCAATTGGATGAAACTTGATCTGGACACTTTTCAGCCTGGCTGTGGTTGTGAATGAGCCATTTCATGTAGGAAAGATCACACAGCAGTGGTGAGAAGTGTTTAAGTAGTAGACACAGTGTGGGGAAAACCATGTCTTTTTAACTGAAGAAAGCAGGGAGATCATGAAAGGGGAGTTTGGCCCCCTGATCCTTCTGGGATCTCAGAAGTGATAAATAACCTTTTGGACCCCTGCCAGAGAGACCAGTCACTAACACCTCTTTTAGATTGATGGAAGGCTGATGGCCCAGAGTTTAAGGAGACTAGCTCTAAGAAGGATGGCAAGGTTCCCTAGTGCTCATTAATTTGTGATTATCTATTGCCAATGCATATAATGAATATATTTAAAATAGAAATATGTTCTACTCTTTAAAAAAGTCCTTCTTGAAGGCGCCTGGGTGGCACAGTGGGTTAATAAGCCTCTGCCTTCAGCTCAGGTCGTGATCCCAGGGTCCCAGCATCGGACTCTGCTCAGCGGGGAGCCTGCTTCCCCCACCCTCCCCGCCTCTCTCTGCCTGCTTCTCTGCCTACTTGTGATCTCTCTCTCTGTCAAATAAATAGATAAAATCCTTAAAAAAAAAAATCTTTCTTGAAATTGAAGGATCAAAGTACAAAATGCAGGAGCCAGAGTAGCTAGGTTTGGCTTGGAACTGGAATGCCTCTGCAAGTCACCAAAATGCATACATTTTTCCATCGCTTGAAATGTAGCCCTGAGAATCTCACTATAGGATTTATTTCCAAAAAAAGTCAAACTTGATTCTTTTTTAATGTGGGCACATATTAGTATCTACAGGGCAATCTTTCAATAGAAATACAAGAAAATACTCTATGATCAGGGCAAGTCCTTAGCATGTATTTCATGATAAGGAAGCTAGATAGCTTTATGTGAAATTCAATCCATTATTCCTAATTCATATACCAATCTTAAGCCTTGATTAGACACTTAAAAACATCAAACAATTTTAAAATATAGGAATAAATCCACGTGTAGAATTTCCCCAATTCATATGTCCTTTAGTAAGGACACATACCCACGTCCAAAAGGTTGGAATCAGGTAAACTTGTGAAACTCTGATCAAGTCACAAACACTGAGGTGGGGGTGGATAAGGGATTAACATTGTGTGAGAATAGAAAAGTTGGGAAAAGTCCAGACTTCCCTTGTTTGGCAAGCCAGAAATACCATGAGAACAGCTGTTTTCCTGGTGTTCTGGTTTCCACTGGCATTCATAACCAAATGTGCATGGAAATAAAAACCAGGGAGGAGAAAAACCCCCAGGCACAAAAGCCCTACAGTTTTCTGTCTTTTGAGCTAAGATTTAGGTCAGCTTGTCCACTTCTCACTCTTAAGCACATTTTCTCTCCCTTTCTCTCTCTCACATACACACACATGCGTGCGCACGCACACACACATTCTCTCTCACACTCACTTATTAAAACCACTCTCCCCACCCCACACCAGTCACTTCCCACAGCACCGTCTAGGAAACAGAAAAGGAATATTTTAGCTTTAAAAGAGAAACAAACAAATATTATTCCTGTCTCATAGTATATTTTTTTACTTAAAAAAATACCCAAAAAACAGGATAAGTGTTCACACAAACAATGGCCACTGCCGCGGGTCCACACTCCTGTCCTGGGACCTGCTGCAGCTGCCCAGTGATTACCTTTTCTGCCCCCCACAACACCCTCTGCCCTCTGCACTTAGGGACAGCCTTACCTTGCCCTCCAGAGCGCTGGAAATGTACATGAGGATGGTTCTTGGAATCCTTGTCACAGTGATTAAAAATGACCCTTTTATGGCTGTTCCTTGATGGTAGCGGAAAAGAATGGAAAGAGACCAAAGGATTGGGTGATCAGGAGGGTCATTTTTATTTCTGGGAAGAGAGGAAAAAAAGACAGCACTTAAAAAACACCATTTAAAACTTCTCTGGTTCAAATTATCAACAGTGATGATTTATAAATGCAATAAGCAGTAACACAATAAGCATTTGGCAAAACTTTCATACTCATTGATAGCGAAGGTTAAATTATTTCTTGGACTGACTTCTTGTCATGCCACTCAATGCTACAAATAAACAAAATGGAAAATTAAAAAAAAAAATACTGAGGAATGAAAATAAACAATCTTCCCTCTTTACTATGCCTCCCTGTCCCCAAATCCTGTAAGTTTTCTCTTAATCTCATTTTCCCTTTCAGAAGTTTAATTATATAATCATTTCCAAGGTCTACATTACATATGTAAAAATTGCCAGCATTGGCTTGGTGATTAAAATCACCACCAAATCATGTGACCAGGAAGGGCAGCCACAGGGACACCAGTGAGCTCCAGCTTGACGTGAAAGGGACAGAAAGTTCTGGCTCCCGCACTGCTCAAGGCTCCTAAAATCCAGCTGATTTCTACTCTGCTCTTTAAAGGTCACTTCAGTGTAAATCATTTGTGGAACGTGTCATGACACAGCAACCAAGAACGCAAAAGCCAGTTTCCCAAGCAGAGGGGAAACAAAAAGTGAAAAAGAACAGAATGGGCACAGCCTTCACCCTACCCCAAACCTGAAAGATAAAACAAAGGAGGGAGGGCTGGCGCCACCCCTCCCCTGACCCTCTCAATTCCCGCTGGTGCCAGTTCTAGAAAATGAGGCCCTTTCCGAGAAGCCACCTCTGATTCAAGTGAAGCTTGGTTACTTCATAATGGATTATGCTACAACTCGCTCTGGTTGCTAATAAGTCACTATGAATTAAGGTTTTGACAAGAGCCTAGGTTTTGAGGGAGAAAACGGAATGTGGCCAGAAATGTCTCAAGAGCTGGCAAAAGGGCTGTATTTTGCTGTTACTGAAATCATCCAGGAAGGAAAGGAGAACCCGAAAGTCCTATTGGGAGCAGAGGACCCATGATCCAGTCGCCCCACAAAAAGGATGATGTGTGTTTCAACTCAGTATTACTGAAAATAGGAAATACCAGGGAAACTATTGCTGATATGAATTCATGCTGGTCTGATAACTAGAACAGTGGTATCGGCCAGGAAACTCTGACATGGTTTTTCCCTTTCCTCAGCTTTTTTTTTTTAAAGGAAGAATGTTTACTTTTCCTTTTAGGAGATTTACGTGCCTTAGAACTTATTAGAGCGTCGAGAGGATACAGGGAAAAGAGGACAGCACCTGCTTTCCATCTGGTAGGGAAACAAGTGATTCACAGGCCACTGTGAGGGGGGCTCTGGGGTCTGGTCCTCCGGGTGTTGAAGTCTCGGCTTCAGTATCCTCGTTCTGAGAACATTTCCTTGGGAGGGGATCAACCATTTCAGGCAGCGGCATGACTGCTGTAGTCTGTGACACACTCTGGTTGTCACTCGAGGCTCTCTGGGGCTTGGTTGGAAGAAGATGCCTCAGTTCCAGAAGTTGGGTTATCACGTGATGAGAGAAACAACTTAAAAAGAAGGCCCTACTAACTCAGTCTGGCTCGTAGAGACAGGAGTCATTAAATACACCCCCCTCACATGCCCCCAATTAGAAATCATCCTACAGAAAAGGGTTAAACAAGTAGAGTGTCTCTGAGGCCTCCACCTTCTCTTCTTAGACCTTTCTCCATGTTCAAAGGTAACATGCCCTGCCATGCCTCCCCGGCTGTGTTTGTGGCCACGACCTTCATCTCTGCCTCCTTCACAAGCAGCAGAACCTGCCCTCAGGAAGAGGACCTCATTATATCCGATGAAGCTTAAAATGATACTCATCTCTGGATTTCACGGTATTCTGAGAACTGGCTTGAGGGAGGGCAATGCAGCGCTGGGCGTGTCAGGCAACCTGGGGCTGACTGAGGAAGCCGGGGCCTCCTGGCAGGTCTGCCCTGTGTCCCCAGGGCATACTGCATGTGCAGCACCTTCCACCCCACTTCTGTGGCAGTGGCATAAGGAAGACCTGGTGAGAGTGAGAGCGTAGGTGACTCTAGGATGCTTCCCCCGCCTGGCCCCGGGACCTGGCGTCCCCTTCTTTTTTAAACTTGTGGCTGTCCTGTGGAAGCCGGATCCCAGGACACCACAGCAACTCAAGGCGCCAAGCAGAGGCTCTAACCGTCCCCTCCATCTGGGTCCTGTGGCGGCTTTGGGTCACAGCCCACTAGGGTTGTGCGGCAACCACTCGTCCCTCAGACAACACGGCATCAGGCCAAGCAAGCAACTTCAGGGTCCCAGAGGCAAGTGTCAGCTGCAGGTGGCTCCGGCCAAGGGCTGAGGACTCAGCAACAGTGTGAGGGTGTAACTCTGTGCAGAGGCTCCTGGACAAGGACCAGCCTGAATGGGAGGGACGGCCGCCAGTATAAATCCGGTCCCCAGCAAAGGGGTGCTGTGTGGTCCCCGAAGAGACCATCCTTGTTTCTTTCAGCAACATCACCATATGGTCCATCTTTCCAACCCTCCAGAAAAAGGAGATTGTCTTTATTATGAAGAACAGGATTCTGTAGCCGTCCCCAGTGACGCTGACTGGGGTTAGGAAACCCATCTGTCTCCCGCCTAAATCCCACAGGCTCAGCTATTCACCCAATCCCCTCGCTGCCTTCTCAGCCAGTCGAGAGCAGCTGGAAACCATCTCTGGAATATCTGAAATGGATGATGAAGTCATGCCTCAAGCGTCCCTTCTCCAAGCTGAACAGTTCTAGTTCCTTTCTCTCACCACCCCTAGCCACATCTTTATGGCTCTCTGTGGACCCCTCTTCAAGTGAATGGTTGTAAAAGAGAAATTTTACAGGTCACTGTATCCTGACACTTGATGGTCTCTGTGTGATGTCTTATCTCTCACGATGCTTACATGCATGACAAAGATGAACGCATGAGATCTTGTCAACCGTGGGATGAGGAAAAACCTTAAGGTTTCCAAAATTTGGCACCATGTAAAAAAGAAAGCAGAACTCCTTAATAAAGAAATAGTGCTCTAAGTTAGTCGACATACATTTTGTTTTTATCAAAGTAGTATGTAAATATCTTAAGTCAAATAGCACGAGGCTAATGAGAGAAGACAGGAGTTTGCTTTCCCCACTGCTCATTTTCTTTCCCTAGAGGTCATACGTTAGCTATTTCTTCTGTAACTTCCCCCACACTTCCAAATTACATGTTCTTTCTGCCATGTATTTTTTTCTGCTTCTGATATTGTCTACTGAATTCTCACTCTTTTTTTTTAGAGGTGGTGGGGAGGGGCAGAAGGAAAGGGAGAGAGAGAATCCCAAGCAGGTTCCACAAGCAGCCGGAGGCCAGTGTGGGGCTTCATCTCACGACCCTGAGATCATGACCTGAGCCAAAACAGAGAGTCAGACACTCAACTGGCTGAGCCACCCAGGTGCCCGACTTCTCACTTTGAAACATGTCTGTCAATTGTTTATCTTATACAACCTAAACATTTTCCCATTCTCTCTTTCTTATCAATAGATTTATATTGAAGTTTTTAGAGTTCTTCCTCTGCTTTATTGAGATATAATTGACATAAGACATTCTGTAAGTTTAAGGTGTACGATGTGTTGATTTGATATATTGCAAAATGGTTACCACCACAGCACTAGCTAACACTTCACTAGCTAACACCTCCCTTACGTCACAGAATTACATTTCTTTATTGTGGTAAGAGCATTTATGTTCTACTCTCTCAGCAACTGTCAAGTATATGATACAGTCTTATTAACCACCATCACCATGCCGGACATTAGATCCCTAGAACTTATTCATGCTAACTTGAAGTCTGTACCCTCTAACCAGCATCTGGCCATTTCCCGCAGCTGCAACCCCAAGCCCTATTAGTTACCACTCTACTGTTGCTAAGTTTCTACCATTTTGGCTTTTTTACATTCTGCATATTACAGTATTTATCTTTCTCTGACTTATTTCGCTTAGTACAATGCCCTCAAGGTCCATCCACATTTTCACAAATGGCAAGATTTTCTTCTTTCTCATGGATGATTAAAATGCCATTGTGTGTGTGTGTGTGTGTGTGTGTGTGTGTGTGGTACCACATCTTCTTTATTTAGTCATCTGTTGATACTTGATCAACATGTGGGTTGTTTCCATAGCTTGGCATTGTGAATAATGTTGCAATAAACATGGGAGTGCAAATATCTCTTTGAGATCCTATTTTCATTTCCTTTGGATATATACCTAGAAGTGGGATTGCTGAGTCATAAGGTAGTTCTATTTTTAATTTTTTGAGGAAGCTCCATACTGTTTTCCATAGTGACTGCACCAGTTTGCATTCCCACCTGTAGTGCACAGGGGTTCTCTCTTCTTCACACCCCTGCCAACACTTGTTATCTCTTGTCTTTTGATGACATCAATTCTAACAGGTGTGAGATGATATCTCCTTGTGGTTTTGATTTGCATTTCCCTGATGATGAGTGATGCTGAACACCTTTTCATGTACCTATTGGTTATTTGTATGTCTTCTTTGGAAAGATAATGTATGTTGTTCCTCTGCCCATTTTTTAACTGGATTTTTTTAAAAAGGTGAACTTTATTTATTTATGTATTAAATCTGTATATTTCTTGTTTCCTTTTTTTGAAAGATTTTATTTGAGAAAGAGAGGAAGAGCGTGCTCATGTAAGTGGGTGGGAAGTGCAGAGGGAAAGAGGGAGAGGCAGAAAATCTCAAGCAGACTCTGTGCTGAGTGAGGAGCCCGACGCTGGGCTCTATACGAGCCTGAGATTGAGACCTGAGATGAAACCAACTGCCTAAGCCACTCAGGACCCCTTTGCTTATCTTCTTTTTTAAAGATGTTATTTATGGGGGCTGCCTGGGTGGCTCAGTGGGTTAAGCCTCTGCCTTCAGCTCAGGTCATGATCTCAGGGTCCTGGGATCGAGTCCCACATCAGGCTCTCTGCTAGGCAGGGAGCCTGCTTCCTCCTCTCTCTCTCTCTCTCTCTCTCTCTACTTGTGATCTCTCTCTGTCAAATAAATAAAATCTTAAAAAAAAAAAGATGTTATTTATTTGAGAGAGACAGAGGGAGAGCACGCATGGGGGTAGGGTCAGAGGGATAGGCAAACTCCCCGCTGACTGGGAGCCTGACTCAGGGCTTGATCCCAGGACCTTCAGATCATGACCTGAGCTGAAATCAGATGCTTACCTAAGCCACCTAGGAGCCCCTATTTATTTTTTTAGAGAGAGAGAAAAATAGAGCATGCATGAGTAGGATATGGAGTAGAGGGGCAGTAGGAGAGGGAGAAGGGAATCTTAAGCAGGCTCCACAAGTGTGGAGTTCAGTCTGGGGCTTGATCTCATGACTCTGGGATCATGACATAGGCCAAAATTTAGAGCCAGACACTGCATCAATGAGCCACCCAAGCACCCCTTTAGTGGAGTTTTTGTCGTTATTGGATTATATGAGTTCTTTATATATTTTGGATATTAACTTCTTATGAGATATATGATGTACAAATATTTTTTTCCATTTCATAGGTTGCCTTTCATTTTGTTTTGTTTTGTTTTGTTTTTTACTGTGCAGAGGAGATGAACAATCTATACCCTGAAAACTACAAGACTTTGATGAAAGAAACTGAAGAAGACACAAATAGATATTTTGTGTTCATGAATCAGAAGAATTCATATTATTAAAATATCCATACTATCAAAGCCATATATAGATTCAATGCACTGCCCATCAAAATTCCAATGACATTTTTCACAGAAAAAGAAAAGGCAGTTTTAAAAATTTGTATGGTATTACAAAAGATCCTAAACAGCCAAAGCAGTCATGAGAAAGAAGAACCAGCTGGAGGCATCACACTGAATTACGCTACAAAGGGGTAGTAATCAAAACAGTGCGGCACTGGCATAAAAATGACATATAGATTGGTGGAACAGAATCAAGAGCCCAGAAAGGGAAAAGAATAGTCCTTTAATAAATGGTGTTGGGAAAACTGGATAGCTACATACAGAAGAATGAAATTACACCCTTATCTTACACTACTCACAAAAATTAATTTGGAGTGGTTTAAAGACTGAACCATAGCAACTGAAACCATTAAACTAAAGATAACATAGGGAAAAAGCTCCCTGACATTGGCCTTGGCAATAATTTTTGGAATATGACATAAAAGCACAGCCACAAATGCAAAAATTAATAAGTGATAATAAAAAGCTCTGCACAGTAAAAACAAACCAAAAATTAAAAACAAAACAAAACAAAACAAAACTCAAAAAACAACCCACAAAATGAAAGTCAACCTGTGAAATGGGAAAATTTATTCCTAAGTATTTTATTGTTCTTGATGCTATTGTGAATGGGATTGTTTTATTTTTCAGATATTTTGTTGTTCTAGAAATGCAACTGCTTTTGGTATGTTTTGTATCCTGCAACTTTACTGAATCCACTGATTAGTTTTAATAGTTTTTAGTGGAGGTTTTAGGTTTTTTCTATTTATAAGATCGTATCATCTGCAAAGACATTTTACTTCTTCCTCTCTGATTTGGTTACCTTTTATTTCTTTTTCTTGCTCTGGCCAGGACTCCCAGTACTATACTGAATAGGAGCGGTGAGAGCAGGCACTCTTGTCTTGCTCCTGATCTTAGAGGAAAAACTTTCAATCTTTTACCACTGAGTATGTTTCGGTCAATGTTTAGTGTTTACAATATCAGTACATTAGTAACACTTGCAATGATCCAAGTAGTATTTTCTTTTTTAAAAATTATGTATTTATTTATTTTTGTTGGAGTATAAACCAAGTAGTGTATTCTGATTACAGTTCCTTTCCTACACAACTTTTGGGTTTTCCTGAAGTTAGTAACTGTTTCACATTTTTTATTTGCTTGGTTTCTCTAGGGTTTTATCAAATACTTCATCAAAGTGTAAATATTTTCTCTACTTGTTCAAACATATCTGGTATTCTCTTAGTTTCCTTTTTCTTTTTTTTTTCCCTTGGAGACATGCCTCTGGGAGCCCACTGCTCTTCTGCTCCTCCTTGGACTGGGTGTTTTTTATACTTGCTTCATAGCTACCCTTCTGGGAACTCCCTGTTCTTTTTTACTGTGTTGGATCCCATTTCCTGAAACTCCTAGTTTCCTACCTGGCTTACTCATTCATTTCAGAGACCACCCTCCCTAAGAAAGGAGACGGGGAACAAAATATTTTGGGATGTTGCGATCTTGAACATGACTTTATTCTCTTTTACCCTTGACTGATACCACGAACAGGTACAGAATTCTAGTTCTGAAAATAACCTCTCTTTAGAACTTTGAAAAGTTTGCTCTATTGTCTTCCTTTTTCAGAGCGGCTGTTGAACATCAGACCCCATTCTAGTTTTAGATCCTTTGCCTGTGATCTAGTTTTCCCTTAGAAGCTTCTGGGATCTTCCCTTTACTCATGTCCTCTCGCTCTGGGAAATTTTCTTTGATAACTTCCTCCTTTCTCTTTCCTTTGTTCTCTATTTCTGGAACTCATATTAGTCAGATGTTCAGTCTCCAAAATGCATCCTCTAACTTTTTATCCTTCCTTTATTTTCCATCTTTTTGTCTTTTTGCTCTACCTTCTGGAAAAATTCTTCAATTTTATATTTTAATCCTTCAGAAGAAAAATTCCACTTTCGCAATCACATTTTTAATGACTAAGAGATCTTTTTTCTTTTTTTGTACTTATTTTATGGATGCAGTACTCCTTTGTTCTGAGGATATTACAGGTTTTTCTATTTTTTTTTTTGTAGTTTTCTTCTGCTGTCTGCATTGTCTTTATTTTCCCTAAATTCCCTTTGTTTTGTTCATTTTGGTCTTTTGCTTTACTAGAGGTTATCTGTGAATGTTGAATCATCAT